TGATTCTTTCCTGTATACAAGTACTTCAACTAAATAATTGTCTTTTTATTCTTTCCGTCAATTTACATTAAAGTAACAGGAATAGATATATTACATCACCAGCTTTTTAATATCCCTACTGCTGGGGCTCAGGTCTTTTCTATGGTTGGAATTGTTTAAATCGAATAAGAAGAATGGGCCATGACCTATCGGGCCGAGTGGTAGGTATTAACGACCAACAAAAAAGGGACTAACTGTTATGAAACCGGGAGCCGTTGGAAAGGTCCAACGGCTCTCGGTTTTAAAAGAAAGGTATTTTCTTTTCTTTTGGGCGTTGTTTAACGTGCCTTCTAAAGCACGGAGGAGCTCGAGATAATAATTTTTTGGTCACCCATCCTATGACCGGTTATTGCGAATGTTGCTTAACAACCGTATCGTAGACAGAGCGCGCTAACCACTGCGCTATCAAGCTTCTCAATGGGTATATATTTATGTAAATTGTTATACATATTACTAGTGCCTATTCGCTAGCAAGTATTTGATGTTTGTTTAGAGTTTGGTATTCCAATTCCTACGCAAACATTTAACAAAGATATATTCAGCCTGTGTACCATATTTCGTCTCAATCCGTTTGTCTATTCGACCGTGATTGATTGATAAGCAAACATGCGTCCTTACTTCTCTTTCTTAGTAATTATTAGGGCATAATAGTGATCGATATATGTATTATAAATGTTACATTCAAAAGCTATATGCAGTCTTTTGAGTACCTGATTTAACTTCAAATTGTCATTGAGTTTGAATACAATGTTCAGAGGGCGCGGGCGTGCAAATAGTTAAATAGAAATAAATTAATTTCTACATATGAAACGAATGAAAGATGGCAATGAACCTTTTATAATGCTCGTAATGGATTGGAGTTTTAAAGATCTACCTATAGAAATAGACACACCTTAAACAGATATGTTTAATAATCGTAAACTTGTTAACATAACATATGTGCTTAGCAATTATCATTTATAGATACGGAGAAGCGTTTATAATGTCAAAATAATAAGGAACCTTAAAATTCTTAACCCTTAACACCACTCGTGGGGGACCTAGGTCCCCCAGCGCTCTGTTTTTTGCAAATTATATAAATATTTTGAACGCGACGCGGTCGCGATTTCGAGTATTCCCAGTGACTCCTGAAAGCTGTCGGGGTGCAGACGTGCGTCGTGCTAGAGTTGGAAGTTTGTGAGGTACGTTTTTTTGCGGGACCTAGGTCCCCCACGAGTGTAGTTACGTAAGTATTTTATGTTGATAATAATCTTTTTTATCTACATTTTTTTACGTTTGTGGTGCAGTATGAGTAAGAATTTAAATCCCAGCAGATAGAAAGGCTGCTAAATGACGTCAGTATAACTCTAGTGTCTTCAATGCACTAAACCAAAACCAAAAAACCCGATTATTACAATTCTGCCAAAGGTGAATTGGTGCTTTAGACCAGAAGTGTGCTACTTACTCTGAGAACCGGAGAAGTCAAGGATGGCTGACCACAATATTTTGCTTAGTATTGAATATTTCCGAAGTAAACAGTCATGTCCTTTACAGCGCATCTAATCCTCAGAATCGTTACAACTTTTTAGAAGAACTTGGGTATACTTTAGTCACTGCTCATGTTCTGGAAAGAAGAAGAGGCTCTTCTAACCTTTCGAGGGAGCTGAAAGATATGATGGACAGGTTCCTACGCGAGGTTGGTGTTCACATACCTGAAGATCAACCAAAACAAGGCTCGAGCCAAAGCAAGAGGCCAAAAAATCGAGGTGTGATTTGTGTCCACGAAGCAAAGACAGTAATACTCCAAGGGTGTGTTCCAAATGTATGAAAAATGTTTGTCGGAACCACTCTGTTGATGTAAAAATATGTACTAAATGTGATTGATAAGTTTTAAGTACATTATAATTATATTTTTGAGACTAATTTAATGAGACTGATAATATCTTTACATATTAAGGTAAAAAAATTATTAGTCAACTAAGTCGAACATTCTCCTTGTGATTTGGCATGTTTTAAAATTTATTCAAGAGTTTATGTCTGTTTTGGTTAATAAGTGATGTAGGTTATTAGAAAAACAGTTTTTTTTTTGTTCCAAAAGTATTTTTTTTAATGCGTCTGTGAAATAGACCCCATGAATGTGACGAGATTTTTCGTAGTTTTTTTATTTCACACTAGGAATATTAATTATGATTATGAAAACCTAAATAAAAGTGTTTATTTTAATAGAATATATGTTTTTTTTTAAATTTATGTTATAAATATTAATCCTAAAATATCCTATATTTATTACTTCAATAATATCTACAAACGGTGGGGACTTAGCTCTTCCACAAGTGTACATTGTAGGCTGAAAATAACGAGTGGTGTTAAGGGTTAACGTTCCCCACCCAGTTGATTTTTAGGTGTATATTCTTTTCTAAAATTAAAGCATAAAAATTTCAAAACAACATGATTTTTTTCTTGAAAGTCGTAAACTGAATTGAGTTTTACCTCCGTGAATTACGTGGATTTTATTACATAGGTACCTTTATAACAGTACGCTCTCAAAATAATGTAGGCGTACATAAAAACTTTTTAAATTATCTTGTTATTTGTTTACTTTCTTTCTGGTTTTGTTTTGTTTAGTGGTTCGCAAGCCGGTTTCAAGGTGTCGCCATCTCTGAGGTCCCGGGTTCGATTCCCGGTCGGGTTAATGTAGAAAATGAACTTTTCTATATTGTCTCGGGTCTGGGTGTTGTGTGATCTTCGTTGTCTCAGATATTCCAAAATACGGGGGCTTTAGCTACTCATCTTGGAATCTGAGCAAATTTATTCTTCTTTCTTTATTGACTTAAAGTGCGCTAAAGTTAATGGGTATTTATTCTATAATTTTTAACGTGTTTTGTAAGGTACCCGAAACGAACACAAATGTATTAATATTTTTGTACAAGTTTCATGAATATGTTAATCATCTTGATAAGTATTAGTTTTCACTTTTATAGTTATACTTATTAATTAAATAAAATACTTTATAAAAATAGATAGGAAAGATATAATATGTAAATCTCAACACTGCCGAATAGGTAACCACTAACCACATAGGTAACCACTGATCTAAATTTGAAGACATAGCCTGCATAGTGCTTACGTAGTCCAAAAATAAAGCAGATACACAAATTCTGCAATCGCTCGAGTTTATTTAGCAGTTTCTCCGTCACATCGAGGTAACATACGTCAGCATAATCTATGATAGGTAAAGTAAGAGATTGAGCTAGCATGACTTTGGTATTGAACAAACCTCTGAAGACACTTTAAAGATTGAAAAGAACAAAAGACTTTCATACTTACCTTCATAATATGTGTGTTCCACAATAAGATACTGTCTACATGAATTCCGAGATTATTACAAGAATTGGAATAACGAATTGGTACAGAATGATACAGAATTGGTTAAATATTATTGTAGGCGATGGGGTTGCTCATGTATCTGCTTCCGACAATGAGAATTTGTGACTGTAAGGGATTAACCACGAGGTCATACGATTTTGCTCACTGACATATACTGTTGAGATAATCATTAATAGTAGCAATAGCCCTATTGATATAATCTACATTGAACCGTTTCAACTCTAACAAACCGCTAGAGCTGCAGATTATCTGCATTAACATGAAAAGGTGAAGCTAGAAACTTACAGAGAATTTATAAAAACAGATTGACAAGAATTGAGAAGGGCATGTCCAGAAAGATATTCCGAGAGCTGTCTGTTAACCATACTCTCGAGAAACTTAAAAAAGGATGGGAAGAAAAGATTTAGGTTTATATTGAAAAAATATTCCGTGCCTTTTTCCAATTTGAAAGGAATGCACTTTCAGATAAGGAGTGATAACTTAGTGCGTGATAATAGAAGCTAATTTACCCAGGATAGGTAGGATTACTACTTAATAGCTAAGGTTAAGACTTTGTTATTTGTAATTTATCATGGTTATGAGCAGAGGTCGGAATTAGGTAGAGTTATTTATGTACCTACTTGCATCGAAATGTTGATATTAATGTGGACCTTCCCGGGATTTCTAATGGACAATCCCGTGTGGCCAACAATCTTACAACTAAATAATAATAACAACGTCAGAGATAGACAAATAAAACAAAGATAATTGACATCAAATTTTTATTAGTTTACATTAATTTACAATACAAATTTTGCAACTTTGGACATCCGATGTCATTGATGTAAGTTTGGCAACGTCGTGCGTGCAGTAGTTTAAATTGTGTAAAAGTAAATAACTTTTTTTTTCTGCTCTTTAAAATTAATCTCGGGATTTAAGGCATATCCACTTTATTCTTTCGCCGTATGAAATCAGTGTAAGTACATGAATAACTCTACCTTTTTTTTTATCGTCGAGGGAATGCTTTGTGAATAACTCTACCTAATTCCGACCACTGTTATGAGTAATCATTACGATAATAATCACTTTATTATATGGAAGGTATTATTAGATTATACTTACTCTATAGACAATATTATTTGGTCCTAAAAAAGAAGTGAAAGATTATTTTTGTATGCCATTATTTTTGTAATCCCTTAGTAGGGCAATATCTTTGTGTAATTTTGAGAAAGCTTTAGTTAATTAATAGGTACGTTAAAATTCTATGAAAAATTCCATCATTCAAAATACGTTTATGCAAAATTAGTAAATCTGCAGCCGATTTAGAAGCATTTTTATGTCAATTTGTTTACACTTTAATTAATAGTTTTAATTCAAGTTTTGCCCTTGAATTCCATTCACTAATATTGTCACTACCGCTTTTAATACACTGTAATGTGAAAACACTCTATTTTAAACTCTGTTATCATAAGATTACAACTTGGTTCGAAAGTATTCAACGTTCATAAACAGCACTATCACGTCATTAAAAATGTAAACTTAGCTATCAATAGAGTAAAGTTTCCAATTGTTTGAAGAAATATGGAGTTTTGTAGAACATACATATCTTCTGCTAGGTGTCGGAAGTACTGGCACTGGCGGCACGGCAGATGGCGCTGGCGGCGACGCGACATGCGCGCGGGCTTGCGTGCTCTGCGCGTGTTGCGGTTGCACGCTGCGTGAAGCGGCAGCACGCCACGAGCAACGAGTCGCCGCTAACGAGCGCCTCGAACGAGCTAACCTCGAATGGAAACAGGTGTGTTTCTTACTACAAAATCCTTACTTAAAAATTATAATTGAGAAAGATTGTTTTTTAGTCTTTCATTGACACTGAAAGATCCATCACTATCGCGCTTTAGTCAGCGTCGCAATTTTCTAAGTGCCCAAGGTGATCAAAAAGATGCTAGTTACAGAAGTTCAATTATTTATTAAGCAACGAAAGGTGAATATTGATCTAAGTATCACATTTTCTTCAAATTTATCTACTAACCAATAATTTGATTCGACTCGATAAAACACTAATCGACTAGAATCGTGCGAGTAAAAGTAGAATCGTAAAACATTTCTAGACACAACATAGGACCTTAATGACATGACTTCCATTGTTATCTATACAACGCTGACGACTGTAATTATTCTCGGTGAAAAATTGTGCGTACATGCGCTTGGTACTATTTTATGTGTGAACATTATAGTTGGGAAGCTGGAGAGTGGCAATAGCTGATTTTATCGCGAAAATAATTTACTTTCTCGCGAAAATTCCGTTATGTTACGATATGAAGGAAGCCATGGGTAACAAACAGCTAGTAATATATGTTCTGAGAAAAATTTTGCCCCCTAAGAAAACCTAAGAGTATGAAAACCCAACCAGAAATGGAATACATTGCAATTGAAATCCTGCGATCAATTAGTAATTAGAAACATTCTCGGGCTTTTAAAACGTTGAGGCTAGCGACCGGATTCTGAATTGAGAAAAGTACAAAATGACAACTGATTATACTCGAAAACTTAATTTTTTTATATTTCATAAGTCAAGAAGTCCTGGTTTCATCAAATTGCTCTTAACTGAGCATTATTAAACTAAAATCAGAAACGTTAACCTGTTTAGGTGACGTATAAATACAGTTTGAGATGTTCTTAACTTTAAATTCTCATTTCAGAAACCGGGTGTAAGGCGGGACTACCACTTTTAACACTGGTTCATATATGACAATAAAATACTACTCATTTATTGTAGCTTGAGTTTTTTATTACATTATATTGAAGTATAAAAGTTATACATCATTCAGAACCCAGTGTGGTTGTAGTAATTGAGTTAGAATAAGCTTCCAATTTAGAGAACAAATAACTAATTAATGTAAGTATTAAATACATAATATGTAGCACATCGAAAGTTTTAATATAATTCAAGATGATGTGTTCTTAATAATACTTCAATTTCAAAAGTTACTATTGGTTATTAATATGATAATTTAATTGTGTAAATAGAATTATGTGCAAGCACGCCGTGCCAGTTGCTTCTCCTTTCTACTTATGAAGTGTCTTTTCCGTGGGATCTGTTTATTAAATAGAGAACAGCAAATGAAATGTAAGAAGTTCGACTTCTTTTATTATAAAACGAAACCAACTTTAGTACGAGGTTCAAACCATTACCCGACTAAAATAAGATAACACGTCTCACTTTGACGTTTTCTCTTCTGTCGTTATCAATTTGCTTTAAGCGGCCAATGGTTTAAACCAATTACTAACTTTGGTTTTTGTTATATATAACGCTGGCCCAATGCAGATTGGAGGGTAATAACGACTGCAAATGTATCCGAGACCAAAGGCTTAATGTGCCTTCCGAAGCATGGAATAGGTCGAGGTAATCAATTTTTGGTCAATCGTCCCGTGACCGACCCTTGTGAAAGTTGCTTAACAACAACGATCGCGGGCTGCAGCGCTTATCCAACAGCCATTAGTAGCTCGTACTAAATGAGCACTAAATCAAGGGAAGGTAGAGCAAATAAATTTTCAAGAATACATTTTTTTCTAGATTAAGGTTCTAAAAAAAGACAGAAAGGCAAATTATTTCCTTAATGACGCAGACGTCAATAGTTAAGATAATAATATCCTTGATAATATGACAAACAAACTTTTAAGCCCATAAAAAAACTCTCATCAAATTCTTGTGCCTGATAGATATTAATGGGAAATGCAAATGGATCGAATAGTAAATTAGCTGTCACAAGTCAGCGGATCATGATTTTTTACCATTTTTCATCGGGGGCGAAACTTTTAGATGTCGTCGACCTGAAGTACTATCTGAAGAATCTGTAAGACATGGTTGTTTATCAAATCGTGATGTGAATTTAGAACGCATCAATAAGGAAAATAGAACAGATTATTATAAAAATGTTGTAAATATCTTGAAAAAGAAAAAAATATGGGCGCTTTTTGATTCCGAGCCTGCGAGTTTTGCCTGGAAGATTAATAAAAAATATATTTAGAAAAATATTTAAGATATTTAATTTAAAAGTGAGTTTTAATTGCATAATATCTTTCCAGGTGGCGGTCGTAGCAGATCGCGCGTTACTAGCTGTATTTGTGCTAGTAACAACTATCGCTACAGCGGCCATACTACTGCCGCAATTAAACAATTTGCACGTCGGAAACACGCCTTTAAAGCCACCCACTTAGAGTTTAATGTTGTACAGGTGGGCAAAAAGACTATAACCAACGAATTAAATCGTCGCGTCAGTGTACGAATAGATGGTGAAAAAAAAACTTAAAGCTGAAGTGGTGAAGATAAGTGGGATGTTCGTGTGTACAGTGCATAGTGAAAACCATGTCTGTTACTTCAAGATGAAAATAAAAGGTGTAAAAGAAACGTAAAACGGTCTTCCCTCACCCCTAATATTTTTGAAAGACCTATCCAACGATACTCCACGCCATGGAAGGATAAAAAAAATTCCTCAACTTAACATATAGGGGAGGTACGAGGTACCCAAGATTTTCATTGACAACTTTGTCAGCGTGTTTTAAGTGTATACTCATGATAAATTACACCTTTCTAATACAAATCGCTTTTGAGCTAAACCGCAGACGGACGGACAGACATGACGAAACTATAAGGGTTCCTTGTTGACTATGGAACCGCAATATTGAAAATGAAAGCAACTTTGTTTGATAAAAATCGGAAAAACCATAAAGTTAACAAAAAATCAAAACCCCGTTTTAAAGATACTGTAGTGTCAACTAGCGAAAACAGCGATTTGTTACATCAATTATGTTATTGGAAAAATAGCAAAATTGAAAACGAAAGCTACATTGTTTTATAAAAATCAGAAAAAATAATGAATACAAACGTAACAAAAATCCCGTTTCAAAAGTACAGTAGCGTCATCTAGTGATCAGTAACGTCAGTTAAATATTTTCATGTACTTAACCAACATAACATATGCATTTAATAATTAGCGACAACGATTGTACCGATTTGAATTATTCAAAACATTATTTAATCCTGCGTCAATAGCTTAAATCATTACTTACAAATTGAATTGTAAACAATGATTTCTATGGTTACAATTAAGTACTTTTTTTAGAACTTTTAAAGGGGGTCATTTTCGTAATACATTTTTGCGTAACTTTCCCCGTTTACGCAGCAAGGAAAGCTTTAAGAAAGTAAAATTCCCTCCCGTTTTTGCAAAAATTTTTCATTGCTGCTCCACTCCTATAAGTTATAGCGTGATATTATAATGCGTTCCTTCCTCCTTTCCTCCATAAATGGACTATTCAACACAAAACATAATTCAGTTTGTTCTAGTAGTTCCTGAGATTATAGATTTCAACCAAAGAAATAAACTCTTCAGTTTTATTATAGATTTTAAATAAAATTTAAATAAAAAAAAATTATAAAAATAATCACAGAAAAGTTCACTATTTTTAATCACATTTATTTTGCCATGAACTTTTAAAGGTTGGACAGATTTTTATTTTTATTATACGATTATTGAGATGCGATTAAAATTTTCTAGTAAAGTGTAATCGTCTTAAAATTTATAATGTTCCAATTTACTTATATAAACCTGGAAATGTATGTTTTTTATCACTATCATGTTATATAATTAATACAAAATGTTCTCATACGAATAGGAACAGGCATCTTAATGCTTGTAATTTAAACAAAAGGTCTTATATGTTTCTTCTCCCTGAAACGTAATTTGTTTACTTAAGTAGAATAAATGTTTGCAATAAAATGAGTAATTGTTCAAAATTAACGTACAAAACTTAAGATGCTTTATATCTATGAAGTTTTTAAATTATTGAATGAAAATATAACTTATTGCGTAGTAAAAAAAAAAATTAACTGTTATGAGAAAAGTTATTATATATAAACGATTTAACAACTGTGGGGGTCAATTAACGTCAACAAAATTGTGTTGAATTTTTAAGCATTTAATATACTTTATCATATTTTTAATATTGTGTGCCAATATGTAATTTTGCCAAATACATAAATCCTACTAATTTTATCTCGGTTACATAAAAATTATGTGCTAAAATTTTATGGAGTGCCAAAAAATCAATCAGTGAAAATTTTCAATTTCATAACCCTATTGATAAAACGTTCGCTGTTGAATTTAAATGAGTTATTTGCAAATCGATCGGATATGAATACAAATTACGTACATAAGTCGAATATATCTCATCATAATCAACACATCAATATTTAAATGAGCTGGGGCCTAATTGTCTTAATTTAATATCTATTGCAATATCCTTCAATTTAACATCGATTTGAGCGTTGTTTACACGAAATATTTTAAATGAACAATATCGTTGATGTGTCGTAACTTGGAATTCTTTAAGGCAAGCGTTAGATGCTAATATTACTTTAAGTTTGTGTTACTTAGTTTTATTTATGTTTCTTGAAAATTCAAATCATTATTCGTTTCGAAAGGGACTCCGACTTGCGAGGTTACATATTTCCACAAATCGCGAGCACTGTCTCTACACATTTGATAGGGCTTGCGATAGATTATAAAATAAACAATTAGACCATTAGTTAAATATTACAATAAATGAAAATAGAATATTACTTTTAAGAAACTTTCAAATGTGTCTGACTCTTCTACAAATATATTCAATAAGTGCAGCTTATTTTGAACATTAACGATTATATTATCATTAATATAACCAAGTGCGTTTAATTACGAAAGTTTAGTAAAATTTGATGTTAGCTGTTAAATTAGTTTTTAATTAATATTCAACTAGAATATGCTCAAGGTTGTTGCCAAAATAACAGAAATCGTGTAAATATAATAAATGTTGTTTTAATTTTAAGTTAAATTTAATTATTGTAAAAATACTTATGTTATAACTTTTCAAAAATGAGATTAAAGTTCGAAAACTATATGATTTATGTTTCATTCGTTCCTCGTGTTCTGCCATTACACCTGTATCTATATTCAAGTAAAATTGATTACTTAACAATTTTTAATAATTAATCAATAATTTAAATGAAGCAAGAACTATTAATAGTCAAATTCTCCACTAAAGATACGAGCATTAGAGGTAAGTACCTAACCGAATGTGGAACAAAATGTTTTTGTATAATTAAGTCAGATCGATTATGCCAGAAGTAGCTCGGTGCCGTAGTGGATAAGTGCCGCGGGCCGCGATGGTTGTCGTTAAGCAACTTTGGCTAGGGTCGGTCATGGGATGGGTGACCAAAAAAATATTATTTTCTCGAGCTTGGTCCCGTTGGTCCCGGCTGCATTTGCAGTCGTTAATACCCTCCAATCAACATTGAGCCAGCGTGGAGGGTCTTGGCCCATCCTCCTTAACCATCCAAAAGGAAGGCCTGAGCCCCTGCAGTGGGGACGTAAAAGGGCTGATGATGATGATGATGATGATGATGATTATGCCAGAGTATATTAGAAATAAAAGAAAGGGATCCCTTAAATATTCAACAATATGAATCTACAAATATAATATATACTGTTATACAAATATACTGTTAGGCTGGGTTCCAGAGGAAGTTTTTGTTACACTACCCTTAGTACTTTCCAGGAGAATATAATAATAATCGTACATTTAATGTAGTACATTTTGTCATTTCGGGTTTTTGTTCTACGTAGTAATAAATCTCTTTGAAATGCTAAGGTTACTTAGTAAATAGGTAGCTTTTCCATGATAAAGACATTACAATTTATAAGCAAAAGCTCTTGTCTAATATCGCTTTTAAACGTGCCATAAGTTATACGAAATACAATAGTATAAATAAATTCATCAACAAATATGGATGCCTTAGATATAATTGAAGACTAGGCTTCCATTAAAATTGATCGTTTATTACAGAGGTTATTGACATTTAAAAAGGCTTCAGAAAATGGTGTCAATTTCGTTGCAACACTATTTAAAAATAAAACTAATTATAATTTGTGTTTTTAGTGTTCTTTCAGAGTCACAATTTAATAACGAAATATTATTATACTTCTTTTCCTTTCTTATCTTAGTTATTTACAAAATAGAAAATGCAGTTTAAAAATAGTAAATTCGACGACCTCCGTAGTCGAGTGGAGTATATCTCTAAGATCCAGGGATCAATTCTCGGTCGGATCAATGTAGAAAATAAACTTTTCTATACTGTTTGAGTCTGGGTGTTATGGTGCCTTTGTTGTCTCAGACACTATAATACGGGAGCTTTATCTACTCTAATTGAAACCAACCTGAGTGAAGTGATGTGTAATATTTATTTATTTACTAGATGATCCGAAACTTTTTACTTTATACCGCTTAAATATATCCTGGATTATAACAACACTTCAAAACCTAAATCAGCTAAATACAAAAAACGACCATCAATTGATTTTTATATACAAATTTATATATTTTAAGTATAGCATTGTGAAAGAAAAATGAATCAAATATAATAAATACAAATATATACTAAATAGATAATCCGGTATACTTCGTATCGTCTTTAAATTTTTTAAAACTTCTCTGGACTACAACAAACACTTCAAAAGCTAAGTCAGCTCAATCGGTTTATATATATATACGACTTTCGCCAGCGGTTTCGCCCGCGTGGACCCTACGGAAATCTTTAGTGGGATAAAAAGTCCTATCCTATCATCTAAGTCAGCTGATACTCTATCTGTATGCCAAATTTCATCAAAATCCGTTCAGTAGTTTCGGCGTGATCGACGGACAAACATCCAAACATCTAAACATCCAAACAAAGAAACGTTCACATTTATAATATTAATAATAATAAAATAATAATTAAAAAGATATACTAAATAATAATAGGTGATTCATAGTTTCTGCGACAAGATTACTATCAATATATCATTTTATTACAACGAAACCGTGTTTGTTTAGCTTTTAAATTTTCTTGGAGTAATTCAGTCTATACAAATTCAACTTTGCCCTCCTAGGTCAAGGCTGGATCAAGTTTTGACACTTGCGCGTTTCAAGTGACTTAAATTGGGTCGACAGGCTTTAGGGGAAGAGGTTTATTATATTACAGCCTTTACCATAATCAACATATAAAGCAAAACGATTTCGAAATGTTAAAAAAAAATTAATGGGTTATTAATTTATATCATTATCATTATCAGCCCTTTACGCCCCCACTGCAGGGGCTCAGGGCTTCTTTATGAATGATTAAGGAAGCTGGGCCATAACCCTCCATACTCTCGCGATGCCGATTGGAGGTTATTAACGACTGCAAATGCAGCCGGGACCAACGGCTTAACGTTCCTTCTGAAGCATGGAATAGCTCGAGATGACAATTTTTGGTCACCCACGCCGTGACGAATGCTTGCGGAAATT